TATATATATATATATATATATATATAGATATATATATAAATTAGACTTGTACAAAATAAAAGCTGAAATAAATATACAAAATAATTACATAGTTGGATCATCCAGAGAATCAAAGAAAAAACAATTATTTCAACAATATTAGAAGAAATTAAATAAACAGCCCTTGTAAATACCTTAATAGGAAAACTTAGAGGTTTAAAGTCCATGGTATTTTGTGGTAAGTGCTTAGTTCTAGGCTCACACACTCTATAATTCAAGGTACTGGAAACACTGCCTTGGCCTAACACAGTATGTGGAGCCAAATTACTCTAGTTCCATAAGTAACAATTCTTAATCTAAGACTTTTTTTATTATTATTTTCCAAACTATGTGCAATTAGTAGATATTAGTGTTTTCTGGCATGCGTTGAAATATTTAATGATAAAAAATAATTCACTACAGTGTTCTGCATTTATATTATTTTAAAATTTTATTTAAATAATATATTCATAATTTTTATTTGTTACTTATTTAATTTTGGGTTGTATTTAATGTAAAATTTAACATAAATCTAAATATGTTATTTCAATGTATGGGCCATTGGTAATTAGGCCTCATCTGGAGTATTGTGTTCAGTCTTGTGCTCTTTACTTTGAGAAAAACATTAAATTGTTTGAAAGGGTTAAAAGGAAGGACAATACCTGGGAAGAAAAGTTGTAATACAAGGACTGGTTAGCTTTAATTGAAGTGTTCTAGATTATTAAGTGAATTGAGAGTATTGATGGGTAATGTTTTTCAGTATTAGGTCACCAAGAAATTAGTCATGTTTTGGAACACTCATTAACCACCCCCCAAAAAACATACATCATGTATAATAATTAAATGACCCACCTAAACGTCACATTAATGTAGCCTATATAATGTGTATAGTTTAGTATACTCTAATCCCTTATAGTGATGACACACAAATTTGGAATGTAATGCTGTTTGATTACAAGGGAAACAACACCTCTGTAGCCACAAAGAACATCGAAGAAGTTTATGGAAATGTTTTGAAATTTTTCAGTCATATTTACATGAATTGATATATTTATAATTTAATTAATATTTAGTAGATCTTCCTTTCGCTTCGTGGAGTT